CTGCTGCCGTTGGGCCCGGCGGTGGCCACGTGGTCTGGCTGCGCCAGCCGCCAGTTGTGCGGGTCTCCCTTGATGAAGCCGCAGACCAGGATGCAGCTCAGAGCCAGAAGGTTCACCCCCGTGAGCAGCTTGGCAACCAGGGCTGTGTCACTAACCCCCCAGGCCAGGAGTCCTGTGGGGGACGGTTGTGAGACCACCAGGGTACAAACCCGGAGGAAAAAGTGAACATTAATGATTTACTTATTATTTGCTGTTATTTTTAAATTTCGCTGTAGGGCACATGCATTCACTGCACAGAGACAGAGACACGGATGCGCGTACTCGAACGCATGCCCAACTCGCCAGTCGAAACTTGAACCTTGCGTTGGACGCGTGGGATCCAGCTGCCTTCACCACCAGCCACAGGCTGGCCCCTTATTTGATAGTTTATTTTTTTCTAAAAGAAAAGAGCGACAGCAGCTTAGTGGACCCAGGGGCTGGGGACGCGGAGTGGGCGCTGGGCGGGCATCCTGGGTCTCCCCGGCTGCTGGATGGAGATGGAGCAGCCCACACCACCAGGGTGCCGGGATGCGGGGTGCCCTGGGCTGCACCAAGTGGTTAATGACAGTGCTGTGTGAATTTCCCCTCAACCTTTTAAGATTTATTTAAGGGACTAGCAGTTGGCGTAATGGCTATGTCGCTGGACTGCCATGTAGTCCACTGCGGTTCGTGTCCCGGACCCGGTGGCTTAAACTCACACCGTGCACGTGTGCGTGTGTGCCCAAGATCCCGAGAGGACAATGGAGGAGAAGGGATTGCGGCATGGCCATCCCCCCGGGGGGTGATTTCTCGCTTTCTGTCTCTGTCTCTCTCTGTCTTTCTGGTGAGCACAGGCACCCTGTAGCAAAAAACCCTCTCAAAAATAAATAAATAAATAATATTTATTTAACACAGCACAAAACGTTGGTCTCAGTGCAGAGGAAGAACCCTGTCGGTCCAAGTTAAGGTCACTGGGGCTGACTTGGTCCCCCACAGGTCGTCTGGCATGCTTGGAGCTGTTCTGGCACAGTAGGAGGTGGGTGCCGCTCAGCCTCCCGTAACCTGGACTGCACAGTCACCGGCCCAGGACCCTGAGGGCCGGCCAGGAGCCATGGCCTCGCCTCGTGTGCCAGGTGGTGGCGCTGGGCAGTGCGACCGACCCACACAGGTGCCGCCTCGGGCGCCCAGAGCTCTCTGTGCCCACAGGGCACTCCGACCTAGGCCCCCTGAGGCTGTTCCCCTCCCTCTCTTGCATTCTCTCTCATGGAAGAAATAAATTGATTTGGGACCAGCAGCTGGCAGAGTGGTTAAGGTGCTGGACTCCCACAGGGCCACCTGAGGTTCAAGTCCTGGCAGCTTGAACCACACACTGGGCTCCTGTGTGCACACCCGCCCCAAATCGCAATGGGACAGTGGAGAAGGGGTTGCAGCGTGGCCCTCCCTCCTGAGTGATCTCTTTTTTTTTCTTTTTCTTTGGAGAGGTTTTTGCTATAGGGCATGTACACTTGCCAGAGAGACAGAGAGAGACAGAGAGACAGAAAGCGAGAAATCACCCCCTGGGAGGATGGCCATGCCGCAATCCCTTCTCCTCCATTCTCTTCTCGGGATCTTGGGCACGCACGCACACGCGCCCGGTGTGAGTTTAAGCCACTGGGTCCGGGACTTGAACCATGGTCGACTACGTGGGAGTCCAGCAACATAGCCATTACGCTGTCGGTCCCTCCCCAGCGTGATTTCACACTTTCTCTCACTCTGTCTCTGAGGCTCCGGTGAGCACATGCACCCTATAGCAAACAGTCTCTCTACATCTAAAAAAAATAAAAGAGGAAATTAAAAACAAACACGCTAAGCACATGTGTATGCACACCCCAAATCCCGAAGGAAGGAGAAATGGAGGCGCGGGCCCTGCATGACCACACCCCCTGGCGAGTGCTTTCCCCCTCTCCCTCTGGCTCTCCAGCCAGCGCCTGCGCCATCTGGCAAATAAGAAAACAAAGACAGGAATGAGACGGCGGCCCAGTCCTGAGTCTCAGGATGCAGGTCCTCGTCCTCGCCCTCGGTTTCCAAGCCCCGCCATCCTCGCCTCCCCAGGCCTTTTCCACCCAGCACCCGCTCTCCACATCTCCCGCCCTCTCGTCCCAGACCCCTGCCTCACCAGTGAAGACCAGCACCAGCCCCAGCGCCAGGAAGTCTGGATGCTTGGCCAGGATGTGGGGCACGTGCAGAGAGAGGCAGCCCTGCAGGGCCTGGCTGATGAGGTTCCCCGTCAGTCCGTCCACGGCGGAGCTCCAGGCCCTAGCCGCAATGGCAGCACCTGCAGGGGGAGAAGGAGGCCCAACGGGG